CAAAACACACGGTGTCATTATTCTGTTTTGAAAGACTGACTCGGCATATGTACAAGTTCCACATGAGCAAAATTAAGTATTCTGAAAATCACCTTCTTTGCAATGTTACCCATCATTTCTCATGATCCACACAATCAACAATTATCTAGTAATTTTACTTTAATCAATAAGGTTATTTGTTAGGCCTGAGCTGCTGCTCTTTTATAAAATACAAAATAAGAGTTAGCAGTGCCCCATCCTCACCTCTGTCCACAGGAATTCATGCCCGTACTCTCTCTACTCTCCCCCCACCTACCCACTCCCCCAAAAAACCTGTTCCTGATTTTGTCTTCCCTGCTTTGTGATCCATTTGACTTATAGACCTAGAGATTCTAGTCTCACTCCTAGCCTAGGACTCCTTAAGCAGGTCCAGTTAGGCACTCACCAGGCCTGGGTATGAAGACCAGGTTGGGACCTGAAGATGCATAAGAAGATAGTCCCTGCTGGGAGAAAGGCTGGTTGGCGCAGGGGCACCTGTGTCTTTGCCCTAGCAACTCTATGCTCGTCAGACCTGGAGGTTCTAGTTCCAAAAGAAAGAATGTCCCCATCTGGAAACACAGCACTGATTCCATTGAACTAGCAGCTAAGAATGCTCCTCTGGCCATTTGGGGCTCCTCATGGCTTTGGATCCCTGTACTGAGCGATGTAATTGATCCTGATTAACAAAGGGAAATTGGATTAGTGCTTCATAATGAAAGGTAAAGAAGAATATGTCTGGAATCCAGGAGATTCCCTAGGCCATCTCTTAGTATCATGCCCTGTAATTAAAGTAAATGGTACTATAAAACCCAATCCTGACATGACCGCTAATGATCCAGACCCCTCCTCAGGAATGATGGTCTGGGTCACCCCACCAGGCAAATAACTGTAACCAGCTGGGATGCTGGTTGAGGGCAAAGGGAATACAGAATGAATAGTGGAGGAATAGTTCTACATGTTGGTTATGACCATGTGATCAATTGCAAAGGCAAGGTTTGTGATTGTCAGTATTTCTTCTTTATATGTTCTTATCAAATATCTTTCTTTTTCAAATTCAAAATCCGAAATTTTCTTTCTTATTTGAATATAGAATATTGTTCATGTATCATATACCAGATACAAACAGGTTCAGTGTGTTTTCATTTATATGTATGCTCACTATATGATGTTAGATGTAAGTATGATTTCATTAATGTCTGGAAATTATGTATCAGTAAACAAAATGTGTAAACATGTTAAGGTAACAAGGGGAGTACTGTAATAGTTAGGGTTTTCTATACCAATATGGCACCTGTAAGAAGACATAGATGGATTTTAACCTGTCAATCAGGTTGCAGCTTGATGATCTCTTTTGGAGCTGCAACTGAGATAAATGGCTCTTCAAGGTCAGCCCCTCTCTCTCTCTGGTGGTCAGACCAGCCCACTGCCTGATTTAGCTGCCCTGCCTCAACACATGTACTTTGCTACCTCTGGGCTGAGCCAACCTGTAGACCACAGTTGACTGCCTCACTGTAAGGTGCTGTTCTACCCCATGGTACGCCCCTCCCCCACTGTATCTGCTGTCTACAGTCAACTTCACTCGTCTTGCCACCACTACAGACCCTGCACCTCCCACCAGCCACTTCTCATCACTACACCGTGAGGCTCCACCACCACCTGCTTCACTACACTGCACCACTGGCCTCTGTTACACTTCATCACTTCATCTTCCTACTGCCTGCTTCCTTGGCCTTGGACTAATGGCCACATGAGTGAGAAGGACCTTCAGTATATTCATTGTCCCATGAAAGTGAATTAGACTGAGCTCTCTATATTGCTGTTGGACTAATTTAATGTTATATTCCTTTTCGTTATATGAGCTTATCCATATATATATAGATCTAGATATAATCATAAGTATCCTTCCTGGTTTTGCTTCTCTAAAGAACCCTGCCTAACAGTCTTTTTAAATTATTTTAATAAATCATTTTATTAGGGGCTTTTACAGCTCTTATAACCAAAAAAACCCAACAAAATAATGCGCCATTCCTTTCATAAATAAATTACAGAAATACATGAACAATGAAAACTGATTTAATGTTACTAAATAGGAAACCCAACAATTTAAGAAACAAATTTTATCTATAAAAACTATGTTAATATCTCTTATTTTAAAAGATTTAAAGCATACTTCCAAATGAAAACTTATAAATAGCAAAACATAAAATTCAACACAACTACAAAGCATAAACTTAAGGAGCTCGCATTTACTGGCCCAGCTAGGTAGTATCTAACCATCATAAACCCTTAAAACAGTACTGTTTTAAAACTCATTTTATGACTATTACAAGAAAACTGAGACTTTAAAAATGTAAGCAATTTGTCCAAGATTATCATGTACACAAAAAACCTACAGAGCAAGTCAAAGATCCAGTTTTTACTCCCCAATTCAATTCTGATACCAGCTGCCATACAGCATTTCTTCCTGGTTCTAGAGCTAGCTCAGAGCTCACAAACTAAAAGGATATGTCATCCAGACTGTCAAGCAAACCCAAGACTTCAGATGCTAGCCCCTAGTTTGGAAGTCCACTTTAACACTTTCCTGCTGGTAACAAACTAAGGAATTTCCCACTAACCCTTCAGGATGCCAACTACAAGCTTGGACCCCTGACTGCACCTCACACTGGGATGCCTCACTTCTGACCTCCTAGGTACAAATTCGGGAGTTCCCTTTACGCCTGAAAGATACCACCTATAAACTCAGAGCTTCCCTGCCACTCCTACCTGATCTACCTGATCCCAAAAGGTCAAGTTCAAAAATGCACTGTAAAAAAGCAATGAAAGCAATATACCTGTGACCACGATTTTACTTTAGGAAGAAAAAGATACAATGGAAAGGAGAGACATGGTATCATTTGATAGGGTTCCAACATAGAGCCTCCATGTCCTAAGGATACACTACCCTTTCCCATACACTGTCTCTTACCAACCAGGAAGCCCACAGAACTTAAGTGTCCAGAGCTTTTACTAGATTACATTACAAAATACAAACTCCATTCCCTCTTCCCTCAGGTTGATCAATATCAACATCACAGTGGTTTTTTTCTGGCCTACCTAGTCTTCACCCAAGTCCCCTCATAACCTCATCTAACCTGTTAGGTTGGTGTGGTCTGGAGTCCTTGTGGAAGATACTTAAATTCCAACATGTTCTTAGTGACTATCTCTCAGGAATTAGGGCAAAGATCAAATTCTTTGGATAAAAACCAATGTAAACCCAACAGCTGTATAACTAGCAAAACCCAAACCCAATTTCATGTGTCTGGTTTTAATTGAATAAGTCCCTAGTTAAGCCAATGTTAAGCTAATTTCTAAGTACCCAAGAGCTTTCATTAATTAATCTGCTGTAACCCAAGAGTCACCACACTTTTTATGTAAAAGGCCAGGCAGTATAAATTTTAGAAAGTGCAGGTCTGACAGTTTCTGTCACAACTACTCAACTTATTTTATTGCAAAAGCAGCCACAGATACCATGTAAACAAGTTAACATGGTTTCTTTTTAATAAAGACTATAACTTTATATACAGTAAAATTTGAATTTTACATGGTCTTCATGTGTTACAAAATATTATTTATTTTTCAACCATTTAAAAATTTCAACAACCAGTTTTACCACATTACCTCACACACCGCCCATACAAAATGAGAAGGTAGGCCACATTTGCTTTTTTTTTTTTAATCATTTTATTGGGGGCTCATACAACTCTTATCACAATCCATACATACATCAATTGCATAAAGCACATTCTTCACCCCCATCATACTCAAAACATTTGCTCTCCACATAAGCCCCTGACATCAGCTCCTCATTTTTTCCCCTTCCCTCTCCAGCCACATTTGCTTTAACCGAAAAGTTAAATCTTTTTTTTAATTGAATAAGATAAATATTGTGGTAATTACATAATTTCATGTCAACTTGATAAATAAATCTAGGCGGAGTCTAGCCTATCAGGTCACAGCCTGATGATGCCTCCTTATGGCAGTGACCTCATGAGGATGCTGAGAACTTCCCCTCTCTCTCCCTGGAGGTGGGCCACACTCTTTTCTGCTTCACTTTCCTATAGTTGAGACACTCAGAGAGCTGGAGGAGCCACATGGAGTCCTGCACCAGTGCGGTGATACTTCCACAAGACTTTTCATCCACCAGCCTGTGATCTGCCTACATTCAGCATCATTGCAAGTGGCAACTGAGATAAAGAGGAATTTTATGAACTAGTATTGGACATATGGGCTGATATCAGACTTATGGACTTGATCTGGACTGGGCTCAAATGTTTTCTCAATACACAATTGCTGTTTGATATAAAGACCTCTCTTACACATATGAGTATCTCTGGATTTATTTATCTAGTCAACCCAGTCTAACACAAATATGATTTAAACCAAAAAACAAACCCACTGCCAGTGGGTCAACTCTGACTCATAGCAACCCTACATAAGAGTTTCTGAGATTTTATGTATTTCTAAGAGTAGACAGCATCCATCTTTGTCCTGTAGAATCTGGTGGGTTTGAACCACCAGCCCTGTAGTTCGATGACCAGTGCCTAACCCACAGCTACCAACTCCAAACCAAACTCACTTCCTTCAATTTCGACTCACAGTAACCTTACAGGAAAGGACAGAACTACCCCAGTACTTTCCAAAAGTGTACATCATTCCAGGAGTAGAAAGTCTCATTTCCTGATAGCGCCACCAAAAAACAAAAAAGCTCTCAATGCCATTCAGTCAATTCCAATTCACAGTAACCTACCTACGTGACAGGGTAGAACTGCCCTGTGAGTTTCTGAGACTGTAACTCTTCACAGGCGAAGAAAGCCACATCCTTCTCCCAAACATGACGCAATAAAACTATTAGTCAAACATAAGTATTTTAAATAAGTGTTTCAAACAATCACTTTATGTCTTATTCCTGTAATGTCTATATATTTACATTTAAAATTTAGTACCTTTTCTCTGATGCCACTTTTAACTTGCTCATCTTGAGTTACTTCATTTCATCATTGAAGATCATCTAAAAGAAAAATGTTAATAGATATTAAACATTTACACAATTCTGTTCTATTATGTGTCATGAAGCCATACAACTAAAAGTTCTTCATTATGCACAATGCAAGGGAACAATGGAAACCAAAAGAGAATGTTTAACTTGTACATGCTTGTACCAGGTCACTTCAAGGTATAATGTGTGACTTTTAAATTACTTAAATTCAACCAGTGCAATGTTACCAAAACCCTAGAGCTACAAAAATGTATACCTAATACATTCTTACAATCTAAGATTTCTTTTGAGACAATTTAAAGTATCCCTCCTGTTCTGAAAATCCTCCTTAAAATACTCAAACCCAGCAGTAAAACATTCTATAACTAGGGTACTTGCTGTCTACCATTTCTATGGTAGTCAAATACTGGTAGTCTATGATTATTTCTATAAGAAAACATTTTAAATTAATGTTCAATTGTTCTAGATAGTACATAAACCTTATATAGAATTATCCTATTTAATATACTTAGATGCACTTTCACTCAATTAATACAGATTTCATCTTTAGAAGATAGATAGATATCATACCTATTAAAAAACTTAAATCTTGGTTCCCACTTTTTTTTAATACTTACTTGCATTTATGTAACAATCTTTATCCCTCAAACTCTGAATATTTCTCAAATTTATATATCATTGCTTACTGGAGCAGAATCATAGGACATCACTCAAAAGCGGCATATTACTACCAAATCAAGTTAATCACATATCGCTCATTATCAGGAGAGTCTAGTAATCCCTGGAGAATTGCTAAGGTAGAGGGGCAGCAAAAAAGAGGAAGATTCTCAACAAGACAGACTGGCAGACTGGCTATAACAATGGGCTCAAATATAAAAGCAATTGTGAATATGGGCAGAATCAGGTGGTGGTTGGTTCTGTCGCACAGTCACCCGGTAAGAGTCAGAATCAACTCAATTGACATCTAAGAACATAACCACACAATATTTAGTAATACTGTACTTAAAGGACAACAAACACGCAATGCAGCCTTCAATTTCTTATTCATAGGACTGGACGATACGGGTAGTCTGGTTACTTTTATCCAATGAGAAAGTACTTTTACTTACATCAACCAAGTACACAACTCTATTTTCTTTTTTTTTTTCTATTTTCATTTTTATCAACCAAATTGCCTTTTTAAAAATGGTTGCAAACCTAAAGTAACTTTTTTCCAACTTAATTTGGAAAAAGAAAAAGACCCCATGTGTTTCTAGCTGTTGCTGCCAAAATCAGAAGTTAAAATGACTTCTACTTTTTGACTGGTAAGACTACCTCTAAAAACAGCACATCTCACAAATAGTTCACTGTGAATTTTATTGGAATTGATGGAATTATAAAGATGAAATGATGAGCATGTATGCCCTAGCCAACCTGACTTCAGCAGTTAATAAATGACTCAAACTTCCAGGTCACACAGCCTAAAAAGCAATTTTCTCCTCTCCTACTGGGACTGGATTAAAATAGGCTGAACGAGAAATAAAGTTAGGTACAAGCCCATGGCAGCAAAAAAGAAACTTGGGAGGAGTAGGGGCTGCTGGTAGGAGACAGAAAGATAAGAAGAGTCATTGGGGAAGGCAGGAATATAATATTCTTAGAAGCACCCAGGAAAAGCCAGAGAAAGAGACTAAGAAACAGCTAACCAAAACTTTGTGAATAACTTCCTAGCCGCCTCAATATGCCCAACTCCTACTACAATGGAAAATGCTTAACAGCTAAGCATCTAACCCCTAGCAAATAATCAGGGAGCACTTCAACTTACAACCCCAAGAATTTGCTTGCTTGGAATCCTTTTAGCGCCAGGGAAATCACTAGCTCTCAACCCCATTACCCTGGTACTAAACCATTAGTTCCCATAATTTTTTTTTTTAAATCCACTGCCAAGAAATGAATTCCAACTCACTGCCACATTATGGACAGGGGTTTTGTCCTTTTGAGTTTCTGAGATGGTAAATCTTTCCAAGAAGCAGAAAGTCTCATTTTTCTGTGGCAAAGTAGCTGGTATATTTGAACCGCTGACCTTGTCGTTAGCAGCCCAACGTGTAAGGCACTATGCTACCAGCACTTCAGGTCCCATACACAATCTCAGAATCCTCTCTAGTGCAGAAGCCTGAGGCCAGAGCACATCAGACTACATGGAAAAACTCTTCCGTATTTGATACAACTAATCCTCCTCCTCCTTGGAAATATTTTTCTTCAGTTGGCCATACTGTGCTTTCCACTAACTCATTGGTCCTTCCTTCTAATAAAAATGTCCTTTATTAAAGTGCTTTGTGGCTCAGTTCTTATTCCCTTGGTGGTCTCAAACTCAGTATTTCCACTTGAACCTCTACTAATATCATAAACTCAATATACCCAAAATACATCCCCTGAACTTTTCCAAACCTGCTCCATCATCAGTTTTCTCCACCTGAATTAAAGGCAATTCTCTCCAACTTCTCACCCCAAAACCTCCACATCATTCTTGGCTCCAATCTTACACCCCAAATCCAATCCAACAGGAAGTTCTGATTGCTCCACTTTCTAAATATATCCAGAATCTAACTAAGGTGGCTCTACTTGCAAAATATACCCAGAATCTGACTAAATATCACTTCACCACATCTACCACCACTACCCTGACTGAAGCCACCATTGTCACCAGTCTTCCTTCTTCTATCTTCCATACCCAATCCCATCCCCCATACCCACCCTTTCTGGCCCAGCCAGTAATTTATCCTCAACACAACAGGCTTCATGATCTTTTGAAAGCCTTGGATGTTTTGTGACCCCTTTACTCAGTTTTGCAATATTTTACATTTCAATGGTGTAACAGGAATGTCTCCAGCCTTTTCCTCCCGCACTTCATCTATAATTCTCCTTCAGATACATCACTGGAAAGCCTTAGTTTTCTTCAGTACACTAGATTTCATTCAAATTATCCTCTCTGCTGGGAATGCCCTTCTGCCAGCTAGCCAGAGAATTGTTAGGTGCAGTCAAGCCAGTTGTGATACAAACTGAGCCCACGTACAGCATAAGAAAACAATGCCCGACCATGTGCCATCCTCACAACTGGTTTTGAGAGCCCGTTGTTGCAGTCATGGTGTCAGTCTAGCTGTCAAGGATCTTCTTCTTTCTCCCTGCCCTGTACTGTTCCCAGTACGACAACCTTTTCCAGGAACTAGTCTGTCCAAAAAGAGCAGCTCCCTCATTGACTGGCTCAAATATCATCTTTTCAATAAAGTTTATCTCAACCATCCTATTGAGTATTACAAACCATCTCCCAACTATAACACACCCATTGGCCCTGCCCATATCCACCATGTCTTTTTCCAGATCACTCATGACCTTCTAATATGGGATGATGGTGTAGGTGATATAAATCCACGGCTCTTGATAGATCCTCTTACAAAGTCTCATGCTATAGTATCTAATGGCTCAATGGTCACTATTTGAGTCTTTGAAATCACCCTGTAAAATAAGAAGCCCTGATGGCATAATGGTTACACATTGGAGTGCTATCTGTAAAGTCCACAGTTCAAAACCACCAGCCACTATATGGAAGAAAGAAGGGTCTTTCTACAGTTACAGTCTCAATGGTTTGTTATTTGGAAAACTAGATCACTTATTTAATTATACGTATTGTTTATTATCCATTTCTTCCCACTAGCATAAAAGTTCCACAGGGAACAGGATCTGTGTTTTGTTCATAAGATGCTCTCAAGTGCTTAGAACATGGTCAGCACAGTGCAGTGCAGATGGCTAACTAGGCGTTTTAACAAACACACAAATGCTCTGAAGTTTTCTTTTCAGAAAGTGATGCTACATAAGTGAGGAAGAAACTTCATTTTAAAGAATTCCATCATCTGGTGGGTATACTGGAGTTCAACTTTACTCTAACATGCCTTTCCGTATGACTGGAGCTTTAAAACTTTAGGGGGAAAAGTGTCTCCCAGTCGGTGAAGGGAGACATCAGACAGTGTAAGACATGACAAAATAATAATGATTTATAAATTATCAAGGGTTCATGAAGGAAGGGGGAGCAAGCAGGGAGGGGAATAAATGAGCTGATACCAAGGGCTCAAGTAGAAAGTGAATGTTTTGAGAATGATGATGGCAACAAATGTACAAATGTCCTTGACACAATGGTTGGATGGATGGATTGTGATAAACATTGTGCGAGTCCCAAATAAAATGATTTTTTTTAAAAAGTGTATCCCAAACTCCCCTGAAACTAGGGCTACAGGTATGATTTAAATCAACTAATCTTATCATTTATGAGAGATCTAAAAGACTGAAAATAAGGCAATGGCTATATTTAAAGACAGCACGTAACTGAGTTAAACATGGGAATGACTATATTAGCAGACATTTTTTAAAGCAGCATCAATCAACTCTAGCTAGTCTACATCTAAGGAAAGCAAGCAATTTGGCCTACTTCTAATGTAAGGCGTTCTTGGTTTAGAAAGGAGGAGTTAAGCACTCGACTGCGAACCAAAAAACTGGGGGTTCAAACCTACAGAGGAACCTAAGGAAGGCCTAGTGGTCTGCTGATGAAAGGTCACAGCTGTGTAAACTCTATGGACTACAGCTCTCCTCTAGTGCATGGAGTCATCATCTGTCAGAAGCAATGACAGGGCAATAACAGTCCAGTGACTGGCTTAATAGATTCAAATATCTGCTTCTATATTCAATCTATTGCCATGTGTTGTTTGGATTGAAGCACATGGAGAAAGTCCAGCAACACACAGCTAATAATGAGAAAAAGAGGGACATTTTTATAATCTTTTCAGGTAATTTTGGGTATTTCAGATAATTATTGATTCTATATCAAAACTGAACATGTCGTAGTTTCTTAATAAGTTAGTTGCAATTGGGGAATCTGAAGCCACATTGTTAGATTAAATCCATTCTTCTGAACTTTGAATGGGTCTTTTACCATATCTGAATTTATGAGATCATACCTGGATCGTTTGGAAGATATTGGTTCAGTA